TCAACGGGAAGAGATGCAGTATGTTGATAAGTCTAGGTTGTTTGGAAAGAGGAATTAATTATGTTACATATGATGCTCTTACTGTGATCTTACACTGGATTTGAGGTACACAGCTGGCAGGGAGTGGTGTGAAAGCAGCTAGCTATCAAACTGAGCAGTTGTCGTTATGTAAACTTAAGTTTTCCTTCCTACCCGACACCGAGACTACAGCAGATGATTTCACTGACAAGCACACAACATGAAACAGAGAGCCACTTGATGAAATAAAATGACCTGATGAAGTCTTTAATTGCAAAACAAAATTGCATACTTGGTCTGCACTGACAGGATTGCTCATCCAAGTATTATACGTGCTGACATGTTTATAACTCAGTATATAACAAGAAATAGTGCTGTAAACACCCTCAACAAGTCAAAACCAAAAAGTAAAAAGCTTTTCATTAGAGCAGTGCTTCTCAAACCCATCATTTGGATCTGATGATAGTACATATATCATATTATTGATATAAAATGCTAACCTTGTCCACCAAGAGTGAATGATAAGTGATTTTAAACATATATTATCTTATAGTTTGTATCATATTATTCTATTTCATTCATTTTTAGGGCTGCAAAAGTCTTATTTTCCTTATCACCTAATCTGCCTATTAGTTTCTTGATTATTTGATCTCAATAAATCAAATGTCAGAAAAATGCCCGTGTCTTAAGCCCAAGCAGCCTACGTTGTTGATAAGTAAGATTTAACTTTATTTGGGGGACTCAGTAGTTTCTAACTATCTAATACAGGTTATATTTCAGTAGGGTCCAACATCTGTTTTGGGCTTTTTTTCTTGTTCTTCTGTTTTTGATTTTCATTCCAACCCAGCACCAAGACTACAGCAGAACACATCACAGCTAAGGAATGCCACTTGAAACAGGAAGGAGGAAAGACCTGACATAGTCTTTCGTTGCAATAAAAATTTGCATTCTCATACTTTCAGTGACTTAGTATTACTCAATTAAGTATGAGTGCTGACATGTACAGAATTTCCAGAGATATTAGCAGGACGCTTTCATCATCATCATACAGTTTATCTTATTCCTTAGTTCGTTTTAATGTTTTTTAGTGCTACAACTTACTCTTTTTATTATCAATTAATCTGCTAATTATTTTCTTAATTAATTGTTTGGTCTATAAAATGTCAGAAAATAGTGAAAAACCGTTTTCTAAAGCCAAAAATTACTTCTTCAAATTGTTTGTTTTGTCTAAAAGCTAAAGCTGTTTAGTGCTGGTTAATACAGAATATTGGTGGAAGAGAGTTAATGCATACTTAAACAGAATATACATGTAATGTGTCATTTATTTCACTCTGTCTTTTGTTTTTATTTAGTCCTTTTAAATCTTTTGTAGATTAATTAGTTCTATCCTGTTTAAACTGACACCCTAATCACAACAAAATGAAAAAGAACTTTGTTACTTCATTTCCATTTTGCACTCATTTTCAAATAGTTACACTTTTGCATTTACTAGTAAACTAATGGTAAAAATGTTATTACTTTAAGTTACTTTAAAAAATCCCATCTATGGGTTTTCCATGTGTAACTGTTGGTAAAAAATAGAAATTTAAATCAGTAGTGGCATTTGAGATTGTGGAGCAGCCCTGCATATGTGCCCTTAGATCTAAGGAACATGTGCCTTCTCCCTAACTGACGTGTGGGAGGAGAAGGAAGGAGAGGAATTAGTAAGAACTAGAAGTCAGTTCTGGCTTATTTTTTTTACCTGGGTTTTGTCAACAGTTTCCCATTTCAGCAGTAAGTAAATCAAAATAAGGAAGTTAGACGCTGACAGAATTCAGTTTGATTATGACTTAAGAGCACTAAACCTGTCTCTTATGACACCATAATCAATGTTATTGCAACCATTTCCCAGACATCTTCTCTTGGCATTGTGAATTGTCTCTAAATGTGGTCAATGTTTTTTTTTCTCGCAGGAGATGTCATCTTTCTGTGGCACCAGCAATGGCTGTGAAGATGCAGGTCAAGAGGCCACAGAGAAACAGGCAAGCATAACATGACAGTAAACACTTTGAACTGCATTTGTATGAAATGATGCGATAGAAATACTCCAAACTGTCTGCCAAACTGAGAAGTATGAAGTATATTTTATGAGCCTTTCAGAAGCCTTTAACTCATTTTTCAGTAGAAGTGATGAATGGTTACATTGCATAATAATATGATGTTTCCTTTATTTTGACACCGTCCTGGTTCAGCATGACTCAAAACATAATTGGGGAGAGAAGGACAGTGCATAAACACATTTTAAGAATTTAATCTGTATTTTTCTCATTGTCAACAAATCTCATGAAAAAGCCAAAGTCATCAATGCGTTAGTGGGTCTCTCAGTACTTTCTGAATCCCCTACACTGTCTTTGGCACACAGCCTCGAGCCCATTAGTTCCTAATAAAGACATAAATCTTTAAAAACAGGTCCTGAATATATAGTTTAATTTCTGTACAGCTCAGTTTCTTAAAACACTTTGCAAACACAGACGTTACTAATGTTTTTGTTGGGGACTATTTTAATCTGTGGATTAATGCACATTTGGTGCTTTAGTGAGTATTTAAGGGAGGAGGGTGGTGTCTCTGTGTATTTGGGACTCAGCCAAAATAAACTACAATGTGTGTGTCCATTGTAATTAAGGAACATGTCACCATTGATGTGTTTTTAATAGCTTTTTGGACAACAATAGGGCTCTATGGCACAGATGAATGATCAGACTTTGTACAGGCAGTACTTGTTAGTAAATCAATTTATAGTTGGTTTGGATCTTTTAATGGGATTTGTTGAAAATAAGAAACACACGGAATATCACATAACATTTAGCTGTTTCCATTGCAATGACACAGTAATAGTACAGCAATATCCAACAGTGATTATACATTTAAGCACGTGCATTTAAAGTTTAATGACTTTTATTCACACTGATTTGCATAAAAGGTATTAAACTTGAGCTATGATAACTTAGTTAACTATTCTGTTTGTTACAGGAGAAGGAGCATCCTCGTGTACTCATCCCTGAGCTTTGCCGACTCTTCTATCAGCTGGGATGGGTGACGGGGACAGGCGGAGGGATTAGTCTGAGACGAGGGTTCGTATGTAGATTCATTTCTTTCAGAATATTGTGAAGGATCAGAAATTGGACATTTTGCATGCTCAATCACTTAACAGCGACTATCAGTCCCAGCTTAAATGCTGCTCAAACTGAATTCACTAATTCACCGTCATTTTTGTTTTTGTTTGCATGTCTCCAACAATCATGCCAAAAGTTTTATTCTGTTGTGGATATTTATTTAGAACATTTATGTGCTGGCAAAAGTGTAGGGAGGCTGATGTGAGGTCAGTTATATCGGTTTTGACAATGTGTGCAAATCTAGGGTGAAGACAGAAGGCCACAGTTTTGCCATAATGAAACAGAATCCAAACTGCTTTGACAGGTTATTACAAACATCTTTGAACTGTGTTGTTTTCGATGGCAGCTACAAAGAAAGCACCACCCATTAGCAAATCCCTGCCTGAAATGGGGAATGGCAGACATTTATTTGAGCCAACAGGGGAAGTTGATGAAACCTCAGATGAAACCAAATAAGATTTTCTGACTCAGGCTCTATGTGTGCTGGTATTTCTTTCAGACAGAAAAACATTGTAACTCTTAAATGATTCACAAGAGACTTTCTTTTCATCTTGTTAAATTATTATATCTTTACATTCAGATAGAAAATAAGCAGTTAAGCTCAACTGCAATACTTCAGCTTTCCAGGGTATTACTCCTCAAAATAGCAGAAATGACGGTTGGTTGATGGATGATGGATGGATGATGTTCTAAAAATCAGACCCTCTATGTGGCCCCAACATCATCTACATGGTCTACTAAATGAGATGTCTTCAGATTTATCCATATTGCGGCTGTTTGTTCAACATTTTTAAATCAGTGCCTTAATTGCTCAGCTCAGGAACCTTAAAGCGGTTTTATTAAAACAAAGCTTTGAGCACTTATTGACTTAAGCTAAAGAAAGCAGATGAAAATATAAAATACCTATAGGCGGCACTATTAAGAGGCTAGGGGAAGCTAAGCGAAATGATCACTGAAATAAATAAGTCACTTCACCAGCTACTTCAAGTAGCTATAATGTCAGCATCACACTGATCTGAGTTCAGTAGCAGATCTGCCGTTCAGTACCCACGCACCGGTATTCAGCATAGGCTAACTGGGCTGTCACTGTCGAACTTCACGTTGCTACTTCACTACTTGAGCTCACTGTTACGGTTATTCTTTGCAATGTACAATTAGTAAGCTGAATTAGTTTATAAAATTGGGAAATTATGGATGTTTTCAAACGTCCTCAGGTGTTGAGCAACAACCAGCAGGTTGTGCTGCTTTGACAATGTCCGTGGTGAGTTTAAATCAATTTTTAATAATCAGGTCAATTTGGAAAGTTTGCTGACTTTGTCACGTTTTGTGTTACCCTCTGCTGTTGTGGTCTGACTCTTAATTTGTTACTGTCTGGGTAGACAGCCCCCCCTCCCCCCACCCACAGTAGACAGTAGACATAATAATATCATCAGAATAATTTTGCTTCCCCATGTCTGATAGCGCCACCTATGGTTATACCGGAAGCAATCAGAATAGCCAGTAGTGTTGTTAGACTACTACACAGTTCTACACAAACATTCTAATGAGTGAATTTCTATTCTCTGTAAGTGCAGGTCTGAATTTTAAGTTTTGAAGCCTTTTTTTTTTTTTTTTTCACAGTTGCTTTGGTTTGACTCAGAAATGACTCAGAGCCTGAGGCGGTTTCGCCAAACCTTGCACGAAAAAATCAATAGGCCACTCCTTTATCTGCTGTGTTTGTTTTAAGATAAAGAAGCGTACAATGGCTTTAGCCTCCACATTCTATGGGGAAACGTTAAGGCTCTCAACATTTAAACAAAAATATGATCATTGCAAAGATTTTGAGGGGATCAACTGAGGCTGAGCGATGTCTTTACTTTTGATCTCAGCCTTCTTTTTCCCCATTGGGTCTTTTAGTCAAGGCTGTAGAATGTTCCATTTCCAACAATGGCAGTGATGACAATGGTCATTTCTCGTTCAGGAAAATGTGATGTGTTGACACATCAGGTAATCATTGAATCTTTATTTATATTGCATGTTTGCAGTTCAAAGTGCATTGGAACAATGAAGATTAAGACAAAAAGATTTTTAGATAAAGAAAATGATGACTTTAGCGATAACTACAATAAGTCTGTGGAAAACCGTGGCAGAAGAATAAGGGTGACATACAGTGCTGTGGAAATTGTGTTCTTTATGGAGGGCTAGAAAAGCTTTAGTGTTTGTCTAATATTTTGGTGTAGCCATAAAGTTTAAATTCAGTACATTTACATTACATTTCCTTTGAGATAAAGACAATAAAGAAGAAGAGTTCAGCTATTTGTATGCCGGGCAAGGCCATGGTGCTCCATTATGGTATGACAGACTAAATCCTGGGATCAAGGACTACTTTACTGTCTTTGTCCTCCTCCTTGATATTAGTATTAATGTGTGGTTTGTTTTATAATTCATAGAGAGCAGATCTACATTGCGCCATCGGGCGTCCAGAAAGAGAGAATACAGGTGAGCAGGTTCCAACCATAGTGTGAAATATTGTTCTCCTCAAAACAATAATCATAGTTGTGATTGAGTTGTATTCAGTGAAGGATTAGTGTGTTAAGTTTGAGATCATATCTTTCAAATGTTTGTGTTACTCAGCCCGACGATATGTTTGTGTGTGATGTGGAGGAGAGGGACATCAGCTGTCCACCTGCCTGGAAGAAGTTAAAGAAGAGCCAGTGTACACCGCTTTTTATGAATGCCTATACTATGAGAGGTGAGTCAATACACTTACAAGTCCAATCCCCAATGTTTGCCATACAAAGAAAGAACTGGGAAAACAGAGAAAAATATGTTTTGTTCAAATATAGATTTTTCTCATTTGAAAGGCAGAATGTAATTGGAAAAATTGGAAGCATTTTCGTGAATGCTGTAATTATGTTCACTTAAAGTGGACCTATTATGCTTATGTTCAGCTCTATATACTTACTCAGAGATGCCACCAGAGTGGCTTTGCATGATTCACTCTTCAAAAACATCCATATTTATCTTATAATGTCTACTACTATAGTATGTATGTATGTATGTGTATACATATATATTTTTTATTTTAATTAACAACTAGATTTTACACACATTCAATTCTAACTTACGTGTTCCTAGAAGGTTTTTCTTTGGATATGTTTACTCTCATCTTTTATGGGGGAAGCTGTGGTTTTTGCTGAAAATTCCAGTTTTACAAAAAAGCAGACAAGGTTGCACTCGTAAGATACATCAGATACAGCTGTTGACTGAATGCGTTGTGATTAAAGGTCAACATTTTAATAAATACCTTGCCACAAAAAGATGATTCTTGTATCAATTACGCATCCCCTCCATCCTTGAATGCCAGGTGAAATGAAATGAAATTAATGAAATAATAATAATAAAAACTAGAACACATTACTAAAAAAATTGTCCCTAAGAATTTCAATGCTTAGTGCTTTGGTGTGAGATCGTAATCAGCGAGGGGTGGCATGATTTCTCTTGTCTTTTTACCAATTATCATTTGAGAAAGACAATACCGAAAGACAACACTCAGAAATCAAAATCAGCTTTTCCTTTGCTAAAATACAGGGGCACAGGCAGTTATACACACCCACTCCAAGGCTGCTGTCATGGCAACACTGCTGTATCCTGGCAAAGAGTTCAGGATAACACACCAGGAGATGATCAAGGGGATTCGTAAGGGCATCTCAGGTACCAACTATCGGTATGTAATCAAGCAGCAAGGATTAGTGAAGTCCAAAGCGTTTTTGAGCATTTTCAGTTATCAGTCAAGTAGAGGTTTGTAAAGTCTTGCTTAAGAGAGAAAGTATCTTGGCACTCATAGAAGAAATCCAACTCGCTGTTTTGATTCGCCACACTGAATGACAAATATGGAACCCTCGTGATTTGCGTAGATCCAAACAGACACGCACTGCATGTTTGTAATGAAACTGTTTTCGGTCGCTGTAACTTGAAAGTATTGCTGTTTAACTGAGCTTTAGAAAAATAACCAAAGTTAGCTTAAAGGGTAAGTACACTCTCAATTCTGCTAGAACCCTCTCTCCAGGTACTTGATTTATATAGCACCTTCCAAACAACGTTCCAAAGAGCTTTACAGTATGCAGTATGCAGTGTGTAGTGTACGTGACGCAGTGGGTCAGCAGACATGGGGAGGCTGACTAACCGCACAGTGTAGCATGGACAGCGGTGTACAGCTGGTAGTTGATCTAACCAGCCATGAGGAGATGCTGTCAGACTTTCCATTTCTCCGCCGGAAAGACAGGGAGTCTGCTGGAGGTTTGACAGGCACCAGAAGCACATTTATGGCCCTTTTGAGAGAGTTACTGTATGGGTATCTGTGTTGTACCTGGGATAGTGGCTCTCCAGTGTGTGTGTCCGTGGGGGAGTGTCAGTACAAAGCTGTTTATTGCAGTTAATGTTATTGTTTGTCATAAATATGTTGTTAAAATCTGAATACAGCACAGTTATTGACAGGCCATTGTGCTGGATTTACTGGCACTGCGGAGGAATAAATCTTGTTCATTTATGCTTTCGGTTTTCCACGGGTGCTTATCAGATTTGCTAATACTAGTGCAACCCGCAGCTGTGTGTGCAGCTTCTGCCACAGTCGAGGGGAGTGGGGGTCAACATACGTAATAAACCTTAGTCTACAGTGTTGCCTATTTCCTCACGTCTAAAGCGGGGCAGTAGAGTTTGGCTGATCCAAACTTTCAAATCCAAGCCCTAACCCACTCGCAAGCTACTTTTTTGGCAAAAATCTGTGTACAATGAAAAATAATAATAACTCAGTGAGTAATTCCTCCAGCGGCAGGAACAGCTCACTGAAAGCAGTGCGTCACAAAGCAAAGTGTGGCCCTATTCCCAGAACTGTCACCATTGTCATCCCACTGGAGTTTGCAGGCCTGAGAAATATAAACTTTAAGGATAACTAAGGTGTTTTTCAAGCAGAACCTTATTTTCCAGTGTTTTTGTGTGAAAGTGTTACCCAACAGTTTGGTCCAGTATCGAGTGAGAACGCTGCAGCCTGCAGCTGTGAAACAGGCTATATTTAATCCTTATGGGCAATTGTGCACGGTCAAAATATGTCCATTAATAGTGTTTGTTTTTGCTACTGACCAGCTCAGATTGTCTGACTGTACCAGATAGTTTGTTATACAGAAAAATAAATATTCTTCAGTTCTGATGTAACTGATGCTGCAGACTGCTGTTGTTCCTGTGGGTGCTGTGACCCTATGCCCACAATTGAGATTTCATGGACTGGATAAACCGAAAGCTAACATTTGATTTCTTTGTAGGATCCTTTCCATAATGTCAGACACTTACAATAACAATCTAAACCAGTCAGTAGCTTTTACTTTTAATAGGCGTATTTTGACTCTCCCTCAATACTGGAACTAACTGAAAACAGCATTAGTCACTTTGACAAAATAAACAAAAATGGCCCTGGTTGAAAAATACCAAAGTTACAATGGTGGACAATGAGAGTTAACATTTTAGAAATACTAACACTGTGAATAAACAGTGCTTATTTTTCAGTATATTTTACTTACCTGTGCCCCAAACTAATGTGTGGCTCATCTTCCAAGGTAAAATGAAAAAAAAATGGCCAACCAAGAATAATCAACTCAAGATGGAGTTCTGGCATGAGTTCACAAACTATCAATCTTTCCAGCAGCTGTCTGGGACATTGGCTTCATCAGGGGCTAAGAAAAGCATAACCATGGAAAATCAAATCAACTCAACCATATGAAGAGTACAGTTTTATCATAGCATGTGGGTATTTATATGTAAGGCATGACAATGTGAACAGCTCTTTGTTGGCTATGGTCTCTTTTTACATAAATGTGCCCTGTCTTGTCTAAAGATTCTCAATAACCCTGATGCAAATCACAGGCTGAAACATGTGAGCGTCAAACCACAACATTGTTCTGTATAACACAGGCACTCTTTTTTTTAACCCCAGATTACCTATAATGGCATTTTATACATTTTATTTTGTGCATATAATTGGATACTGTGTGAAATAATGCGTTTAGTCATTTTAAAGTCCCTCATTTCATTTAGAGGATCCGCTTCACTATTTAGCCTTGATCGCAAAGCCAGGAAGGAATAATATTTCAAACAGTTCAAAGATTTGACAATGTGCTTGTGACCCATCCAGGCATCAGAAAAAAGAGGCAAATGTTGGCAGATGTTCAGATGGTTCCTCTCTGGTTAGAGCTGGGAAGGAGCTGGATTACAAATGATGATTTTCATCATTCATTTGTTTGATAAATCATTCAGTCTGTAAATGTAAAAATGTGAAAAGGGTCTGATTGCTTGTTTTGTTCACCCAACCATTTAAAACCCAAAGATATTCAACTTACAATGATAAACAACAGAGAAAAAAACAATTCATACCATTTGAGATGATGGAATCATCATCAATGTTTGGTATTTTTTTCTTGATGAAGTATTTACCCAGTTTCAGCACTATGCATGGTTCACTGTCGCAGACGGTGGTGTCAAGAGAACAGGGATGTCTCTATCCATCTAGCCTCTATCTGACAGAACTCTAATGGCAAAAGTTCATGCCTCAAAAAGTCAGCAGCTTGGATGTAACTTGTCATTTCGTACCCTGCAAATACCCAGGTATGATGACACCCTGGTCGTGCCTATTATTGAAAATACACCAGAGGAGAAGGACTTGAAAGACCGAATGGCTCGAGCAATGGAGGAATACCCTGATTCTTGTGCAGTCCTCGTCCGCCGACATGGTGTATACGTCTGGGGGGAGTCGTGGGAAAAGGCTAAGACTATGTGAGCATTAACCTCCCAGCATTATTAACCCCTTTGATCTTGTTTATGACCAAGAATATATTATACATTTTAGAGCCGGACCGATATGATTACCTTTTCATAGCCATTTTGGTGCCCAATCCACACAGAAAAGGTCTATTTTCACCCCAGCTAAAAAAAAATCACTATAGCCCCCATATTGGTAATTAGAGAATTTTTCCCCTGAAAAATTGGTATTCGCCTCAAAAATCCCATTTTGGTCATGCTCTAGTATATTTGTATTCGAGGCATATGTAACAGAAGATGGATTTAAATTCTTTGTGTTGTATTTTTCTCTGCCAACTCTCAAAATACTGATCCATTTCATAGGTGTGAATGCTATGACTACCTGTTCGACATCGCCGTCCAGATGAAGCAGTGTGGACTGGACCCTTCGGCCTTGCCAATGGAAGAAAAGGGAATAGTTTGAAATTTAATGGTTCTTTTTGAAAAAACGTTTGTTGCAGAAAGGTCATTGGGTTCAATCAGGAGAGCAATCGTAATAATTTGCCTTTCCCAACGGCCTGCTTCAAATTTGATGGAATTTGATGGTAAGGGCAGATTCAGAATTAAATGAGATTGAATTCCTGTGATCCGGAAGCACCTGCAGGTACGCTGCAAAGCGCTGTGGGGCAACTCATGACTAAGCTGTTGCCATTGGACTGGAATCAAGGTCTTTGTGTACATCAGGCATGAATAACTGCCTTTGCTTAAATTAATAAAAACTGATGGAATGTAAATGTTTTGAAGTGATTTGATTTTTTTCGTTTACCTTAAGAAAATCCAACACTAAAAACAAAGTTGTAAAATATTTACCAATTTTCCAACTATTATCTAATTCTCTTATTCCTTTATTTAAACACAAGGCACACAGAATGATGCCGGATGTTTTGTGTAAACCACAAATCATTTATGATTTTTTTAAGCCATATTTCAGCTTCAGACAACAAATACAATACTTTTGATAAACTAAGCACGCACAAATAACTATGGTCATCTTGTCAAACACCTTTCAGTGAAAATAACCATGTATGGCGTAAAAAGGACCCTTCATGCCCAAATCACCAGGCAAATGCATTTGGTGCAGGCATTGCACAGTGCCTGTAAATCCTTGCACAGCATGCCTCCAGTCGCCTGCATACTCATTTTTCATGAAAGCCAGAGTTGTTCTTTTAACAAGCTCCCTCTGCTGCCACCATCCCATTACTTTTACCACTGTACTTGCTCAAAACAGAGCACTGTCAAATGTGCTGCTGGCTTGTTTGAAATGGAAAAAAAAATATCTATACACAAAAAATCAACAACAAAAATATTCTTGAGTGCTGTGTTAACACTCCAGAGATTCCCCATCTTCTGACGAAATCTGGTAAGCTCATTTGCAAAAGAAACTGAAAACCCATAACATAAAAATTACATTGTGATGTTTACAAAATCAGAGTCTCAATGTCCACTATGGAACAGACAAAAAATCCTTCTCAGATCTTAATTTAGTTACTTTTGAATTGGCGCTGTTCAGTGATTTCTGAGGAATGATGTATAAAAAGCTGGCAAATGACTGTGTTTAAGAAAAAGAAAACGGTTCCAGTATTCAGGATTGTCAAAGTCTGATTATGCCCCCTGCAGCCCAAACTAAATATGTGTATTATATATTCCAATATTCATGCTGTTATGCATTTATGTTAATATTTATTACCTGCCACCTAGCAAAATTCTGCAACAGACACATTGTGAATAGAATATGAGTACGATTCACATGATCTGGGGGCTTGCTGTTGCAAATTGTCCATACTGTAGAACTGGGCCACCTGAGCACAGACAGCTTTCCCACAAATACCTAGTGACTGAGAGAATGAGTGAAGTAGTTATAGTAACAGCTGGTCACTCTGAAAAAACACAGGAACAAAGAGGCACTAATATTTTCCACCATGGTTATACCTCTGTAACAAAAACAATGGAAGTGAAAAAAACAAGTGAAAGGCCTTGAGTAGACACACTAACTCTGGTTTCACTTTGATCAACAGGTGGGGAAAAGGTATGAAGCAATGTGCCAACAAAAGCAGGAAAGAAAAAGACGTAAAACATGTATTTGTATATACTTAAATATATATATAATAAATAATTTAAAAACCACACATTCAACACATTTGTTAGTCCTCGAGGATACTCACAATGCACTTTGGTGAGTAACACTGAATGTACATGCTAATTGTGTTTATCTATACAAACTATAGTCTAGGAGGGAATGAATAGCGACAGATTGAGCAGATTGTTTGTCAGGATAAACCACAGAATGCACCACCCACTGACCAGTACAAGTAACTGTCATGTCATCCAAAATAAATGAAACATTTACCCAAAAGGTCATGTAGCCAACAGATTTCCTGTTAAATTAAACCGTAGAAAGTATGTGTGCACCCCTATGTGTGGGGATTGTGGAATTCATGCACAGAATCCGTTGTTATAATCTCTTGTAAACTTCCGGTAAGCCCTCCATGACAGAAGCTCTGAGATACCTTTCTTCATATTTTTACTTCCGGTTTGCTTTTCTGTTTGAACTCCCTTCAAAAGCTTATTTTAATTTATTTTTGTTCATAAAACTTTAAATGTTATACACAGCATGTTTTCTGGATAGACAAGAAATCACATCGCTGTTTTTGATTCTTCTCCTTACAGCCATTAGTAGACTTTTTTCGAACACATTATCAGTTGATGCACAGGGCATCTCATTATAAGCATTGCAGAAAATGTTATTTTCCCCAGCCTTTTCAATCAATTGAGGGATATATAACCGTTCAAATACTGTAGTGGCGCCCCTCAACCCATAAATTATGTTCAAGTTGTATTAATGTGTTTGGCACCCATGTCTCAGGAGAAAAGTAACACTCATTGCTGCACCATATTTTTTATGATATTGATTAAAGTGTAAATGTGTTTATGATTTTTAGCTTCAGTAAAAGCCTTGTGACAGGCCAAATGGTGATATATATTAATATTATTGACGTTCAGACACAAGTACTGTAAGCTTATGTGTGTCAGCCACTCGGCTCACAGTCTCACATCCACACAAAAAACACTCTAATGTATCTCAGGGTCGACATTTAAATAACCACTTTTGCATTTTGACATTCTTATACCGCTCCTGTCTGACATTCTGTTCTTTTTGGGCATTTTGCCTTCATTAGATAGATCTAACAATACAGTGACAGAAAATATGGAAGGAGAGGAGCAAGCACGATAAAAGTGGTGGATTTTAAATTAGAACATAGCGGTTACATGGTACTGTATGTTCCTTAGCCCACTGAGTCACCAGGATACATTAGATTCTAATGTTGGCTCTTGAATATAGTAAATTATCATTTGTGGGTTCAGTCCCATAAAAAATGAAATATGATTTTTTTTTTTTGGCTTCAGGCTTCACCAAGAAAATTATTATGCATTTTATATAATCAAACCCTCAAGATAAAAAGCATGGTATGCACACTTGAACACTTGTGATTTACAGACAGCCCATCGACAACAAAGCAATATGGATTTTCTTTTGTGAGCCCTGTTCTTACAAAGGGAGTGAGTGAGCAACAGCTTCATCTGTGTTACTGACCAACACTCATGTCTATCAGTCCTACCACTTGCAAACATACCTTTCTATGTGTTTTAAAGGGTAACTTTGCTGTTTTTCAACCCTAGTATTTCCCAGGTGCTTGTATCTAAGAGACTAATGGGGACAACATTTTTGAATTTGGTACAGACACACAACTGTTATATTGCTGTGTTCAAAGCCACTCAGTCCATTGACAAAAACAGTAATTATACAGTACCTTTTAACTCAGCTAGACTGTCTTAGTTTGTCTTTTAACTGTTCCAACAATCATGAATCACAAAATAAACCGTTTATTCACCGACTTAGATACTAAAAAAATGTGTCTCTACACGTTGTTTCTCCCCACTCACTCTCGATCTCTCTATCTATTTTCCACATGTGTGGGAGGTGTATCTCTGTAAGGTTCTTTCCGTAATGTTCAGTGGATGTACATTCCGCAGCCAGTTTCACAGGACTACAAATTCAACGTGTTAAAAAATGATCCATAAACATCACCATAAACATCACCATAAACTAGTAGTAGTATTAATATTACGCAAAGCCTCATGATTATAACACTCCAAAACCACAAGCAATCAGTTTACAACAAGCAAGCTCTGACAGGACCATTGTTAAATACTTGCTTACCAGAAACCACAAGACAAAATGAATGACTAGCTGTTGAAAACGCCGTAAACCTGAAAACACAGATACTCTTCTAATAAGTTGGTGGGAACCAAAACTAAGCTAAAAGGACAGCAACTATTGGTCTTAGATTTATCAGGTTGCCAGAAACATGAGTCCAATGGGATGCCCATGACGCTTCATGTCTACTAGATGCATAAACAGACAATGATTTGCTAACATGTTATCCATAACAGCAATCGATGATACATCAGAGCTGGAAGTTTGTTTTGAAGTTGCTCTGCCCCCTACTGGTTAAAAGCCATACATTTTACCCAAAGCACTACTTTGATCAGTCACTTCTGATTGGTGTCAGCTGTAAAATGTAATTAAGATAATGATAACCTGTTAAAATAGATTCTGTGTAGCAGACACACAACTTACATCTAAGTCTAATATTGTTTTATCAAGTTATCAAAGTGGTTCCATCCAATTCTGAGAATTTTCTGCCAGTAATTTGATCTGAAAAATTCATTTGGAGGAACAAACACAAGTTGAGTTCAGTGGATTAATTAAATTTGACGTCACATAGAGAAAACCCACTGCATTTACTTGTTAGTAATGATTAAACATTAAACAATGATTTGCAAGTATAGTCACAGGTTACATTTGTTGGTAACTATAGCTTAACTGAATGTACACCCATTAATGTAGGTTTCAAGACTATAAAAGAAATTGTATGTTCAAATGTACACAATTGATCTTAACTAAGTGTCCCTATTGTGTTGAAGAAACATTCATTGTAATTCAGTACACATCAAACACTGAATTGCTGAGTATAGTAATTAAAGCACACTGACAAAGATGAATGAAGGATTTAAAGGGGATACATATCTGTTTGCCAGCAGGTGACAAAACAAAACAAAATGAGGACCAAGTGTAAGAGCTGCTGCTGGTTCAGGTTGACATTGAGACTTTAGCCTCTCTATCAGGTTTAATTTACTAAACGGCAAGCAACATAATCTAATCTAGAAAGCTTGCTAAATTAATTTTAGTAAAACATATAAATAAAGTGGCTGTAGCTGATGTGAGTTGTAGCCATACAAACAAAAGGGTTCTTGCCACAGTTTGTGCTGCTACAGGTTATACAGTGTAAGGGAAATGAAGGGTCTACTTACTTTTGCTCATGTCCTTTGCAAGCAATAATAGTTTGATGTCTGCCAAATACCAATGTGAATCAGCCTCCTCAGCAAACTTATCAGACCAGCAGCAGCACTTTGCTCTGGGCTGTCTTCTTCCCTTAATCCGTTCGCTCAGGCCTCACTTTGTTTTCTTGCCTGCTTTGACTTGACTTTGCTGATAGAGATGTAAAGGACTTCAATCCACTTCCCTAGTAAACCTCCGTCTGCACCCCCAAATACAATTATTTTGGTCTGAACTGTAGATACGTATATGCAGTTTCAAGTCAGCGGTCAAAAAGAAGAGTGTCTTTTATTCTGGAAGTTGAATTTTTACTAGCCCAAACTTTATATTGTACAA